GCCGAAGCGTCAGAAGCAGAAGCGTCAGAAGCATCAGAGGTGGCCGAAGCATCAGAAGTAGAAGCGTCAGAGGCGCCAGAGGTGGCCGAAGCGTCAGAAGAAGCGTTGGAGGTGGCCGAAGCGTCAGAAGAAGCGTTGGAGGTGGCCGACGCATCAGACGAAGCGTCAGAAGCAGAAGCGTCAGAGGTGGCCGAAGAGGATTCCATAGTAGACGACGACGCCATCAGCGACGAAGCGGGTTCGTCGGGGTAGTTGGGCACAGATTTCATAGGCAAGCACCCATCATGAGGAGTGGCACCATCAGGAATGGGACCGGTATAACGCAAAGCATTGTTGGACACGATACCGAGTTCCGAGACAGTGTCAAGCTCAAAGAGGGTAGGGTCGTAACCGGTACCAATGAGGAACAGGTTGGTGACGAGTGCGTTCCAGATCTTCAAGATCCCAGTGTCAGCATCATACGAAAAGTCAGTGATGGTCAAGTCAGTACCAATAACATTGCCGTTACCGTAGCCGGCCACGGTGTACGGCTGGCTTGCATGAGCACCTGCAGTGGAAATAAGCGAGGTAGAATCTTCCAAGTAGAAGGTTTGAGTGGTAGCGACAGAGTACAAAGGAGTAGCAAGATGGATGAACCCTTGGTAACCAGCAACAATACACCCAGACCCGGTGATTCTGTTTTGTTGAGAGTACTTTTGGTTGTAAAGGTAAACGGTACCATCGTTGTTAATCGTACCGCCAGCAAGACCCAAGTAGTTAATACCGTCATTCTTCTTCTTGTTGATGATTTCGATGAAACCTTGGTTATCCCAGTTGGTTGAAGTCATGTAGTAGTGAGGAGTGCCGTTAGACCCGTCACCAGCCAAGTAAATCTCACCGTAATTCTTCATGTTGTGCGAAATCAAGTCGATAGTGGGAGGCAAGTTCGATTGGATCGAGTTGAGCGAAATGGTACCATAGTTTTCGAGAGTGTTCAACAAGCCAGTGAGCGAGACCTTAAGCCCAATCACATTCGAATCCGACGTGACGTAAAGGCCGGCGTTTTCACCAATGGTGACATCGCCAACCATGTTCACGGCCTTGACGTTAATGATCGACCAGTAAACATCAGGGACAATACTGATGTCCCCAAGCTGGGTGACAAGCGAGTCATCAGTAGTGATGGTGTCCTGCTGAATCACCACACTTGCTGCGAGAGTGGTGGCGACAAGAGTCGTCCACAACCCGAACTTCATGCTTTGTTGTGAGGATTAGTTGACACAACGGAGGGGGGTTTCATCATTTATAAGAAAATCAGATATTGCCGAGATTTTCGCTATGCATTGATGGAGCTGCATTAAGCGCGCATGATGGAAGATCTAAATTGAAGCAGGGTGAGATTGAATAAGTCCGAGAGATACCCATACAACAAACCCGAGTATGGCGAATAAATAGCAGTTATTGCAATATCAAAAGCTTTCCTTTGAAATGACTACCCATCCACGTAAATTTGTCACCGCGCCATCTTCACCGCGCATGAATACGCCCTACTTGCATTAGATGCTGCGCGGGTTTTGAGATACATCATCAAACTGCCTTTGATACTTGATGGAGGTTATAGACCGTCTTCCTTTATATGAACAATCATGGTGTATCTGATGGCGATGAAGCGTGGCGCTTAATCCTGTCAAGGTACTCATTTTCAACTTGACAATAAACAAAGCCTTGGTCTTCGCTTGGCACATTTACGAGGAACCGTCTTGTTCTCGTATTTCCTGTTGATTGTTATTTGTCGAACTGGCGTTCAAAGCCCCGAACGCAATCTGCAGCATCGAAAACGTATGGGCGTGGTGCATGGGGCGTGGCAAAACAAGAGTGCATCCGGCATCTGATAGCTCTCAAGGAGGTGATATGAGCAAAATACAGGTTGCAGTTTCAGTAGTTTGTTGTTGCGGAATGTCCCGAAGACGGTGAAGCGAGCCTCGGTGCCCGACGCGACGGTGTCCCTCATCTTTCTCCTCGCTTACCGCACCAACCATCCATCATCCGCGGATGTTCAGTTTAAGCGCTGGAGCATTATCCCGGGGTCGCATAACATACGAAGGGAGCGACAGGCTTCATCGCATATAATCAATAGGCCGCAACACGCTCTCGCATGAGTGTCGGCAGAGTTTTGCGAAATCCCGAACAAGCTGCGCGCGAAATTTAAATTGCATATCTCCAGCAGTAGGATTCGAACTTGGGTCAATCAATGTGGGCAATTTGCAGGTTTTGTGCCAAATATAAATTTTTACAAAAGCTCACCACGTTTAGTCATTCACCCGCCAAGTCCCCACACCTCACACTCAATTATCGAAGCTCTCAAATAACAGAGCATCAAATCTATATAAGTGAGTAATACAGAATTAGACATCAATTTGCCACCCAACCCCGTGGCTACCCTATACATACTCAGCCTTACCCGAAGTTCCCCATAGGCAGCACCCACTTGCTGCGTTGTGTGCACTCCTCGCACCAATTCGAACACCCCTTGACCAACTGACGACACCACAGGTAAGCCATGAACTCTGGACGACTTGAGGCGGAAAAGCTCCATGCCATCCAGAAACAGATTTCGCGGGGTCGTCTGCGCTCCCCTCCCGGAGGAAGACCCCGGCTGCGGCTGGGATCGGCGGAACCCAAGGAACTCAAGTGGAGTATCACCAACCACGATCCGAGCCAGAGACTCGTGAGTCCCGGCCAACACGAAGAATGGGATAATGAAGTCAGTGAGGAGGAACACCTCTCCGATGATGACAATGGCGAGAAGTTTCAGTACGACGATACGGGGAACATTTTACCTAACTACGCTTGTCAGGACGAGAAAATCAACCAAATCTCGCTGATTTTGGAATCGCAAAACTTGAACGATAAAGATACAATTAAGAAACTTGAAGAGCTTACGGCTAGTGAACGGGCAGTGGCCAATGCCCATCTGGTGGGCAGACAAGTTGACGACAGCAATTTGGAGAAATTGCGCAACGAAAAGCGAGAGTTGGTGGGTCTGGACGAATTGAACTTTCAACTGACTGACCAAGACGCCATTGCTCGTCGACAGAAGCTTGACAATTATCAAAACTACCGCAAAAAGGTTATTCACAAGGAAAACACTCAGGCACAATCTGGCTTGGGGCCTGCTTCCAAAGCGGACAAAGAGAAAGACGATCAAGATGATTCCTCTGATGATGGTTTCATGGCTCCTTACACTCTGGCAGTTGAGGATAAGCTTGACTCTGAATTCGCATACAAATTAAACGAGACTATCCAAGAAGGCCCTATCGATCTGAGCAAGGCTCATCTGCGGGTAATTCAGACCATTACGCGGGGTAACTTCTTCAACTTGATCAACCCTAAACAAAAACCAAAGATGTTCCTTGTGTGTATGGACTTTAGTCCGGAGCTGATTTTCGCACTCGAATGGCTGTTAGGGACAGTACTCGTTGATGGTCTGGTATTATTCATTGTGTGTGTGATTGAGGAAACTGACACCAATCACAACGCCAAAGGTAATGGTCCGGCTGAAAATCAAAGGGAGCAATACCGGCTTAACATGCTCAATAAGGCGAAGCAACAAGTGTTGAATTTATTGAAGCTCACCAAGTTACAGATCCACATTGTTATTGAAATTATCCACCATCCCATCCCCCGCCACTTGATCTTGGAAATCATTGACAATTTGCAACCCACACTCGTGGTGGTAGGTTCAAAGGGGCAATCGGCCATCAAAGGGGTATTGTTGGGTTCATTATCAAACTACCTTGTTACTAAGCTGAGCGTGCCAGTGATGGTTGTAAGAGAAAAGCTCAAAAAGATTAACCGGTTTAAACTGGGCTCGCACATGTTCAGCAATAACATCAAGAGTTTGACTTTGTCGGAAGCAAGAATTGATTAAGGACCTCAAGAAATTGAATAATGAGATAAACGGTAATTGACTTTTTAAATTGCAGAATAACGTAGAAGAAGCCCAAAATGTTAGCTCTCAAGGTATCTCGCATTTGTAGATGAGACACAGGAGGATCATCAGTCTTGACCTCCGCCTCAATTTATATAATTAAAAAAAGGTATACTCAGTTGTCCTCGCCTCAGCCCAGGGCTGTGTAGCATTTTTGGCTCCCCATCAACCGAGACCCACCCAGATGGACTAAACCACCTTCTACGAGTAACTTTTGTTGGCAGACCACGTCGCTCAGGCCGCTGTAGCCAGAGTTATGGCCCCGAGAATTCGCGACCAAACACGGAGAGCCTTCTCTGTCTTCAACATCCTATGTATCCTCTGTCACTAATGTGAAATTGCTCATTGTTCAATGGGATTGATGATGGATGCTTTTTGCTGAATGTAAAGATGCTTTGACCATATTATAATAATCCAACATCTTCGATAGCGATGCGCCCAGGAGGGGAACCCTCATGCAAATGGGATTAAATATGGGGTCATATTTCTGGTAACAGTTCAAAGTTTCATATGAATGATAGGGGTCAGGCGAGTTCTAACCCTTGAATACAACAGCTCGATATATTCTATGGTAAGGTCATGAAAATGTCTATTAATGGTAATGTCTTATCCATCAGACAAACAAGTCAATGTAATTGTGCTATAGGGTTTATCAGACTTCCACAGATCTTTTGAGCAATGTTTTGCCTTGTGGCCGCCCTCCTCATTATGGAATTCAAATTTTGCAAAAAGAGGTCCTACCCGGATTCGAACCGGGGTTGTTCGGATCAAAACCGAAAGTGATAACCACTACACTATAGAACCGAATTTTGCAAAATGTAAAATCGTGAATATCCAGAAGAGTAGGTTGAAATGATCAAAATTGTTTTTGTCACCCAGTCGTAATTTCAACTTTGAGCGCTACTGGGGCACTCTTACAAGGCAATAGTATAATCTTAGACAATCGAGAGGGAAGTTTAGTGCTGAACAAGCAATATCTCTCTTTTTTTTTCGCACACGTGTTTGCGTCGTTCGAATAAAACAACTAATGCAAGTTTATGGAAAAAAAAAAAACAATAAAGCTCTATGACCATACATGGTGGTTTAGTCATCAATACCTCAATCTCATTAAACCCTATACACGCTTACAACTTTTGCATAGCAGCAATGTCGGTCGATTGGACGTGGTCTTCGTCTTCTTCGATTTGTTGTTGCAATTCGTCCAACGAGATCTTAGCGTCTTCGACGACCAAGTTGATTTGCAACTTCTTGATACCGAAACCAACGGGGATCCATTGGTGGGCACCCCAGGTCAAACCGTCCATTTCGACGGCCTTGACGTTGGCCAACAATTGGTCCAAGTCGGTTTCGTCATCCCAAGGCTTGACGTCCAAGGTGACGATCGACTTGGCGGCGGGGCCGGGACCCTTAGCGGCCTTCTTGGCGTGGTATTCAGCCAATCTCTTTTGCTTCAAAGCTTCGGCTTCAGCGTCGGCTTCTTCGTCGTCGGAGCCGAACAAGTCGACGTCATCGTCGTCTTCTTCAGCAGCGGCAGCGGGGGCAGCAGCGGCACCGGCGGGGGCCTTACCTTCGGGCAAGGTGTCGAATTCGTCAGCGAACGAGGCGATGTGGTTAACCCATCTGGCGGCGTTGGGGAATTGCTTGTGGAAAGCTTGGTAGACAGCGACGTCAGCCGAGGTGGGTTGGGTGCTAATAAACTGTTAGTAATCAATTCAAAGTCAATAATTGGTTGGGGTAGATCAGTATGAAAGTAATAACTTGGGTTTACTCATCTGAAGGGTCTTAAGCTTCTCGGAAACACGGACCAAGTGTTCATCATCATATCGTCCCAGTGGTAAAAAGATTGGAATGTTTCACTTACCCGTCGATGTACGACTTGTCAGCCAAGTAGTCGTTCAAGTTCTTGAGGGCGTCAGCCTTAGTGAAGTCGGAGAAGGACATGGTTATTTATGAAGGGTGAAAAATTTGCCGATGGCTGTTCAAAAAAAAACCTTGCGACTCGGTGTGCATACAAGCAGGGGAGGGTAACACCTCTGCAGGAGCCAATCCTTAGGGTTGATTCGGCGGTATAAATTGACGTGAATCGGCTTCCAAATGGCCTACATAAACCCTCAAACACCTAGAGAACTTCATATATGGTGTATACTGTCGATTAACGGTAGCGCAGATGTGATCGCGTGGCGGTCTCGCAAATCATTGTAAGAGTTAGCCATGTGGCCGCGTGGGCCACCTACCACTACCCATGGGTTATGCACGCAGCCGCGTCATCGAGAGAGTGAATTATTGAATTCTCTTGACTTTGAATGTCAATGGAGGAAAGGTAGAAATCTTTTTGATTGAATATTATATACTATAGCTTTTGTATCGAGACCACTGTGTTCATTAGTTTAAATTAAATTGATTATTAAAATATTAGCTTGCGCTTTTCATATATACATGGGGATCTATTGCTGGAATTGCCATTCCTTGGTGGGTTTGTTAGCGTAGCACCTAAACTCGTTCAGAAGCCCGTTCTTGTGTTCAGGCAAAAACGTCGTGATTTTGATGCCAGGGTAGTTTTCCATGACGACATCCTTCATCCGTTCCCCAGTGCACGACACCAACAAACTCTCGTTAATATCACGCAAAAGCTGTTTGGCAGCGATGGCCAGCTTCGTCTGGCATTCAGGCTCGAGGAACGGCGGGTCGATCAAAAGACGATCACACTTGCCCACCAACTTTTCCGGCAATTCGGTGGGTTTATTGTAATCGTAGACGAAGAACCGCTCGGAACCGGCCATCACCGAGAACCGAGAGTCGTATTCGAGAAGATAGATATTTTTTGTCGGCAATTCTTTAGTGGCCGCCATCTTTCTAACCGCTGCGTACACTGAGGGTGCACTGGCAATGCAAATCACGGTGTCGGCGGTGGCGCCATCCAACAACGCCCGGGCAAGAGTATCAGCAGTATCATCGCTGTACCAGAATTGGGAGAGCTGCCAGTCTTCCGGGAAGTCGTCGATCAGAATAGCTTGCCCTTTGTCAAATTCGTCTTGAGCCGCCTGCGAAAGCTTAGCAAAGCGTTCTGCTTGCTGTTTTTCTTCCTGGCGGAACTCAGCTAACGCAGCAAGGGCATGGGCACTCAAGGATAACTCGTCGTCCATCGATTAGACCGGTGGGGAGTGGAAATGTACAGAAGCAAGTAGTTTTCTTGAAAAGCGTGCCGTTCACGTGACTCGACATCTCAGAGCAGTGAGTAATGACGTCAGAGGCCGTTTGTCGCCAAAGAAAATGAGTGAATAAGCGAAAGGTAAGTGAAATTCGGTATTGACCAGCTAACAGAAAACGTTGCATTAACATAAAAAGTTTCAAATAACCATCTGCACCTGTCAGTGGCTAGTTCGATTGTCGTGATGGGTACGTAGGCGGCGTTCCAAACGGCGTTGCATCTGGGCCAATATCGATTCAAACTCAATTAGCTCCTTCTCCCCCGGTAGAGAAGCATCCGCGGGGTACAACTCTAGCATCTCCAATAGCGAATGTGGATGTTACCATCTTCATAAATACTGGTGATATTCGCTTACGAGTATTTTTTTAGTCCCGGCGGAAAAACTTACAGCTAAATGTGTAACAAAGTAGGGGAATTCGGATGATATGCAGTTGGGATACGAATATCTCGAATTCCCTATTGCTATTCAGAGTTGTGAACGGATACAATGTGACACATCACTGGTTTAAAGATAAAGTTGGTCGGTTGTTCCAATACGTGTAAGTAGTCACTTCAAACGCATCAAAATCGAACAAAAATTGCACCACTTTGATCGGTTTTTTGTGACCGAGATCACCATATTGTCCACCGTACACTAGCGTTGCTTTTCGCCGAGAGGCCGAAGTCAAAAAAAGCTCACGTGATCAAAATCATTTCCCCCATATTTGGGCCCGCACTATGCTACCGTACCAGCTTACAAATTTCGACGGCACGTGATATGATCCAATCAGTAAATTTAGGAAGGTAAGATGCCCAGCCACACCTGTACTTGATCTTCGATGTCTGTGGTGAGCTTGACGCCTGCTCAGTTGGAGCACATAAATGCCCGGCTTGAGAACGAGCTGCCAGAAACCATCATCAAATGGGCCTACCTCACCTTCCCCCACCTCTACCAGACCACCGCGTTTGGGCTTACTGGGTTGGTGACGGTTGATATGATTTCCAAGTTGGGCATTAACGTTGATCTTGTGTTCATGGATACCCTCTACCATTTCCCTCAGACTTATGACCTTGTTGAAAAGGTGAAGGCTAAGTACGGCTCGACTGTCCACACATTCACACCTAAGGACGTATCCACCGAAGAAGAGTTTAAGGCGAAGTATGGCGATATGTTGTGGGAGTCCGATGAGGATTACTATGACTTTTTGGTCAAGGTTGAACCCGCCCAACGGGCTTATAAGGAATTAAAAGTGGTGGCAGTGCTCACTGGCCGCCGGAAGTCGCAAGGCGGTGCCCGGGGGTCATTACCGGTGGTGGAAATTGAAGAAACGTCTGGAGTTATCAAGATCAACCCATTGGTTAACTGGGATTTCAAGAAAGTCAAGCAATACATCGATGAAAACCAAGTGCCCTACAACGAATTATTGGACTTGGGGTACAAGAGTGTGGGTGACTGGCATCTGACCCAGCCCGTGGCTGAAGGCGAAGATGAAAGACTGGGGAGATGGAAGGGCAAAGCTAAGACTGAGTGTGGCATTCACCAGACGTCCAAGTACGCCGAATTCCTCGCGAAGTCGGAGACGGTGAAGCAGGGCTAACCTAATTATGTACCATTAATATACGACAACTGTGACTAATAGGGAATATATTATATAGCGCAGCTGCTCCGCCCACATGCTTGTATCAGAAGCTGTTTCGTGGGGTGTGCAGTGAGAAATGGTTCCAAATTCTGAAATAACAATAATTCAAGCTAGAGGAGCAGATGGTATTACAATTATGAAACTACAAGCACGAAAAAACTTATAAAAAAGCACAGTCAGTCATTTTCATTCAATTAAAAGACGTGTTCGCTACTTAGAAAAGAGAATAACGCACACCCCCAGTCCCACCCACTCGCCGCACACCTGCCTGATCGCTCGCTGCATGATATGTGCCCTGCACCAAAACATATATACCATCACCAACGACGCGTGTGTTCGATTAATTGCCAGCTCTGATTTCTCCACACACCATGTCGCTGCTGGAGGAAAACTACAGCGGCAGTGAGAGCGAATGGGATGATGACATGGAGGAGGTGGTGCCCAAGCCGAAGCCGCGGGCTGCCCCTCGCAAGAAGCGGGCATCCCCTGCTTCGGCGCTGTCCTCAACCGAAGCGACTCCGGCTCCAGCAACGGAAGCTTCTCCCAATCCTCGCGAAAGCTCTATTGAATCCGAAACTAACGGTGACTCAACTCCTCGTGTTAATGGACAACGGGGGACCGCGCTGGAGCAATACCAGCGGCTCTCTCAGCTTGAACATATCCTTAAGCGTCCTGACACCTATATTGGGTCAGTGGAGCCTACCGACGTGGAAATGTGGACATACGATTCTGCTACTGAAAAAATGGTACAGAAATCAGTGAAGATCGTTCCTGGGTTGTACAAGATTTTTGACGAGATCTTAGTCAACGCCGCTGATAACAAAATCCGTGATCCTCTGATGAAGCAACTTAAGGTGAATATTGACGTGGAACTGAACACAATCACCGTGAGAAACGATGGGCGTGGTATCCCCGTGGAAATTCACGAGAAGGAGCAGATGTACATCCCTGAAATGATCTTCGGTAACTTGTTGACGTCGTCAAATTACGACGATGACGAAAAGAAGGTCACTGGTGGTCGTAACGGTTATGGTGCTAAACTTTGCAACATTTTCTCAACCGAGTTTACGGTTGAAACTGCCGACTTGTCGAATGGTAAGGTTTATCAGCAGGTGTGGACCAACAACATGTCGAAATGCAACCCCCCGAAAATCAAGAAAATGACGGCCAAGCGTGAATACACCCAGATTACGTTCAAACCCGATCTTGCTAAGTTTGGCATGGAACGCTTAGATGATGACATTGTGCTGGTTATGAAACGCAGAGTGTTTGATCTTTGTGGTACAGTTAGGGATTGTCTGGTGTTTTTGAATGATACTAAGTTGCCTATTAAACTGTTCAAACAGTACGTCGACATGTATGTCCAAGCTCTTCGGCAATTGGATGATCTGGATGATCCCAAGCTGCTGGTAGTGGTACATGAAAACTTCGGCGATCGTTGGGAAGTTGCATTTGCCGTCTCGGATGGGCTGTTCCAACAAGTGCTGTTTGTTAACTCCATTGCCACTACCAGTGGTGGTACCCACGTGAAGATGCTCACCGACAGCATTGTCAAGCAATTAACTGAATCGATTCTGGCCAAGAGAGGAAAGAAGAAGGCACTCATGGTCAAGCCGCAAGAAGTCAAGAACAACATGTTCTTGTTTGTCAATTGTTTAGTTGAAAACCCTGCGTTCACCTCGCAAACTAAGGAGCAGATGACCACTAAGCCCGCCAAATTTGGCTCTAAGCCGGTGATCACTGAAGATTTCATCAAAAAGCTTATCGCCAAAACTCTGATTACTGACAAGCTTCACAGTTTGAGTCAAGCTAATGAAGACAAGGCCCTTGCACGTCAAGATGGTTCTCGTCGTCTGAGAGTTAAGCTGGCGAAGTTGCACGACGCCAACAAAGCCGGCACTAAAGATGGCCACAAGTGTACGCTTATTCTTACTGAAGGTGACTCAGCCCTCGCTCAGGCAGTGGTAGGGCTCAAAGTCGTAGGTAATGAATACTACGGGTGTTTCCCCCTTCGAGGGAAAATGTTGAATGTTCGTGACGCTCTGGCGGACCAAATTCTGAAGAATGCCGAAATTAATGAGATCAAAAAGATCATTGGTTTGCAGCACAAAAAGCACTACACTCCCGAACTGCTTAAGCTGTTGCGTTACGGTCATATTCTCATCATGACCGATCAGGATCACGATGGTCTGCACATCAAGGGTTTGCTTATCAATTTCTTCGAACTGAGTTTCCCTGGCCTTTTACAATGTCCTGGATTCCTTCAAGGGTTCATTACTCCGATTGTCAAGGTTACCATTTTAGGTCGCCACAAGAAGGTTATTCCCTTTTACAACATGCCTGATTTTGAGCGTTGGAGAGAGCTGGAAGAGGCTCAAGCCAACCGTTGGACCCATAAGTACTACAAGGGTTTGGGTACATCTCTTGCGACTGAAATCACCGAGTACTTCCAACAGTTGCTGCGGCATTTGAAACGATTCCACGCTCTTCAGGATGACGACAAGCAGTACATTGATTTGGCATTTAACAAGAAGAAAGCTGATGATCGTAAAGATTGGTTGGGGGCCTATATTCCTGGTACCCAATTGGACCCTGAAATTGAAGAGATTCCGATTGCTGACTTCATCAACAAGGAGCTTATTTTGTTCCTGATGGCCGACAATATTCGTTCGCTTCCGTGTGTTCTTGATGGGCTTAAACCAGCACAGCGTAAGGTCATTTACGGTTTACAAAAACGGGCTGGGAACCGTGAAGGTAAAGTCAACGACTTGGCAGGGTACATTTCAAGTAACACCGCTTACCATCACGGTGACCAATCGTTGGTCATGACGATTGTCTCAATGGCTCAAGATTTCGTTGGGGCAAACAACATCAATTTGTTAGAGCCCCGGGGTAACTTTGGGAGTCGATTCATGGGTGGAAAGGATGCTTCGGCTGCTCGTTACATTCATACTTGCTTATCTGAGATCACCAAGCTGGTGTACAACCCTTTGGACAACTCTTTGTACAAGTACGTTCAAGAAGATGAGCTGACTGTTGAACCTCAGTGGTACTTGCCTGTTGTGCCGATGGTGCTTGTTAACGGTCTGGAAGGTATCGGTACGGGGTGGTCCACTTCAATCCCTCCTTTCAACCCTAAGGATATTGTTGACAACTTACGCCGAATGATGGATGGTGATGACTTGGTGGAGATGGCACCATGGTTCCGAGGGTTTACTGGTCGTATTGAACGTGAAAGTGATGGTCGTTACAAGATGTACGGTATTATTGAGCAAGTGGACAACCAAACCATCCAGATTCTGGAAATCCCCGCCCGCATGTGGATCCAAAATTATAAAGAGTTCTTGGAAGGCAACATCAACGACCGGGAAAACCCTCTGGGGTGGATCAAGGACGTGCAGATTGTTCACACCAACAGCACCGATGTTGGGTTCAAGGTGACGATGACACAAGCTGAGGTTGATAAGCTGCTTGAAGTTGGATTATACAATCGATTCAAATTGATTTCCAATATCAGCACCCTGAACATGACGGCCTTCGACGCTGACGGTCGAATCAAACGGTACGCGCTGCCGTTGGAAATCTTGAAGGACTACTACTACGTTCGTCTCGAATTCTACCAAAAGCGAAAGGATGCCATGACCACGAACTTGCAAAACCAACTTACGCGACTCTCAGAACAAGCTCGTTTCATCAAGTTGATCATCGATAGCAAAATCAAGGTTTCCAACCGGAAGCGGAAGGAGTTGTTTGAAACTTTGGAAGAACATAAGTTCATCAAGTTCGATCGCCACGGCAGCCCCGTCGCTGGCGAGGCGCCAGTTGCCGAAGACGTTGCCGAAGCGGATCCCGAAGAGCTTGAAGAGGAAGCGGAAATGGTTGAAGGCGAACATGTTCCCGAAACTAGGTACACCCACTACGATTACTTGTTGGGAATGCTGATTTGGTCGTTGACTTGGGAGAAGTATCAAAGACTTTTGCAGCAGCAAGGTTCCAAGCAAGCGGAATTGGAAATCCTTTTGGGTAAGACCGCCAAGGACTTGTGGAAGGAAGACTTGGAGACGTTCTTGTCGGCTTGGGACGAATTGCTTGAGTCCGACGTGAAGAAACGTGACCAAATCAACGGTAAGCGTGGCAATAGTGGTCAAAGCCGTGGCGGAAGACGCCGGAGAAACGACGATGATGATGATGAAGACTATGGTGCTCCGAAGAAGAAGCGTCCGGCGAAGAAGGCGACTGCTGCCAAGGTGAAAAAGGAACCTAGCCCCAAGGAATCGGCGGTGAAGAAGGAAACGACACCAAAAGTTGAAGTGAAGAAAGAATCAGGCCAAGCCGACGTGTTATCTTTCTTCTCTAAGGAGGACGACAAACCGACGCCAGCGCCAGCGCGGGGCGGCAATCGCCGTGCTAAGCAGCAAAAGCCCCCAGTGGTGACGCCGCCGCTGTCAAAGTCCCGCTTCGACGCCAGCGACTCTGACGAGGACTTCATCATGGGCGATGCCATTCTCGGTGGTCGGAAGGACGCGCTGATGGCGTCGGACTCCGAATTTTCTCTGTAAACCCTCTCGAACTTGGGTTACCTCTCTCTTGATAGCATTGTAATCTGAAATTTTGATGATCACCAGGAAATACTCCCTCTTACAGCCCCGGACTTTATCTCACGCTCCCGCCCCTGTGGCGCGGATCCGATTCGACGTATGTGTCACATTTTCTGTGTCTCAATTCGGTGTCACCGATTAGACTTTAAGCGCCTATCCACACCCCGTATCTAAAGACGAGGGGAAGGTAGTGCATGTGATCAGGGTGATACAACCCCGACACCTTGACAGCGCCGACTACTTTCAGTATTTGCCGTTTACAGTGGTTTCCGTTGCAGGCAACAATGCCCGTGACGTGCTCTATTTTTGTCGACTGTGCCCGCCCCTTGGCGCCAGCATGGTGACAAGGAGCAATCACGGCCGATGCGTAATCGCCTCGCCGTTACATGCTCGGAATTAACGCTGCCGCGTGGGGTCCGGGGGGTGGGGGTCCGAGTCGACCCCCGTGTTCGCCACTACGGACGGGTCGGGGTATATGGCAGCGGCAGCGACACGGGACCGGAAGCTAACCCGCCGGCGATGATACATCCGACCGTAGCTATACTTCACTGTAAGCGAGTTAATCTGGTCATTGCTGGAGTAATGCTGGCGTTGGTGGTGGATTGTATTACGTAATATCAACACTCCGAGGTTGGTTCCGAGGCCTTCGATCGCTTCGTGGATAATCGCCCCGAGATAATAGCGGAGACCTATTTGGGGGGCGAACGGCAATGGTTAGGCGACCTGGCTCCTACGGCACACTACGCCCGAACATATATATATATAGGCAAACGGGTGGCCCGAGGGGTCCGGGAATAAGCGTTCGTTTGCCAGGTGCGGTAATTTGTCACAGTTTCCCCGTTTCTCTCCGACACACTACCCGGGAGGAGCAATTGCCATACGTTTCCTTTTACACAACCCTCCCAGTTACTCGTGTCGATGTTTCCTTTAGCCTGGCCGTACCCCCCTGAACAGTTGAATGGGTACTGGGGCCCCACCACCGCCACCATCGACTGGTGTGAGGAGAACTACGTGGTGCTGCCCTACATCGCCGAGGCAATCAACACCACCACCAATCTGATGTTCTTTTTGCTTTCGGGGATCGCCATCTACAACACCATCAAGCAGCGCATGGACCAGCGGTTCGTGTGGATGGCGATGGGGTTCATGCTTGTGGGCATCGGCCTGTGGCTCTTCCACATGACGTTGCGCTACGAGTACCAGTTGCTCGATGAGTTGCCCATGATTTATGCTACTTGTATCCCCTTTTGGCTGGTGTTCTCGGAGTTTAAGACTCAGCGCCAGCTGGCGCGGATCGGCGGCGCCATCTTCATGGCGGCCAACGTCCTCAGTTTGGTGTACATGTACATCTACAAGAACCCGACGTTGCACCAGGCCGCCTACGGGGTGCTCAACGCCGCCATCATCCTCAAGCTGATGGTTTTAACCCAGCAACACGTCACCGACCGCCACGCCCGCCAGCAGCTCATGAAGACGATGTACTGGGGGGTGGGGCTCTTCCTCTTGGGGTACGTGTTGTGGAACTTGGACATCCACTTGTGTGGCTTCTGGAGAAACTTGCGCCGCTCCATCGGCCAGCCCTACGGGTTTATCCTTGAAGGCCACGGGTGGTGGCACATCTTCACCGGCTCCGGCGTCTACTACTACTTGGTGTACGAGCAGTACCTCAGATTGTGGCTCCAGGGGACCCAGAAGTTCTACAAGTTCACCTGGGTCGGCGGGTGGTTGCCCATGGTCATCTTGCAGGACCCCAAGGGGTTGACCACCTACAGAAACGCTCGCAAGTTGGCCCAGGCCGACGAAGAATTCTTGAAGTCGGAAAAGTCGCAGTAAAGCTGTTTGCGGTTGATCGCAAACTCGCATCATAAATATTATCGATAGAGTCATATACATTCCACTAACGTACGCTATGTTTTTTTTTATCAAATTATATACGCCGTATCTTCATTCATGTTGTAGTGGTTCAGTCGCTGTTCAGTCGCTGTCGTCGCTGCTGCTGTCATCACTCGAGATCTCGATGACCGACTTCTTCGCTGGCTGAGGCTTCGCCGCCTTCGACTCCACCGTCGTTGACGGAACCACTTTCGACGAAAGCGTCGCAAGTTGGGGCTTGGCGATCTTGGGGAGTTGCTTCAACAGCGGCAACCCCCGTTTGGCCTTGGTGGCGCTGCTGGAAGTTGACGCTGGTTGCGACGACGTACCACTGGAAGGGTCCTTCACCCGTGCTGTCGTTGGAGTTGCTGACTGTGATGCGGGGCGGGCGACGATTTTGGGCTTGAACTTAGCCGCCGCTTTCGGACTCTTAACTGCAGTGCCCATTTCAGACACGGGCGATGTGACCGTAGCCAAAGGTTTCTTGAGCGACGGCACCGCCAGCGTCGAAGGTTTAGCAGCAGGCGTCGCGGGAACTTTAACAGCAGGAGTTGCGGGAGCTTTGGTATCAGGAGTTGCGGAAGCTTTAACAGCAGGAGTTGCGGGAGCTTTGGTAGCAGCTTTGGTAGCAGCTTTAGCAGGAGTCTTAGCAGGAGTCTTAGCAGGAGTTTTAGCAGGAGTAGCCGCTGGCTTGGCAGTAGTTACTGCTGGTTTAGTTGGGGTCTTCACAGGAGTCGCTGCGGGTTTGGCAGCAGTTGCAGCCTTCACTGCCCTTTTTCTCACACGAGGTTTGGATTCCCTAAGAGCTCTTTTTGCAGCTTTTCTTTCAGCTGATTTCCTCTTCATGTCTCGCCGACGGGCCTGCGTAAGAGGTATTTCCTCGTCCAGGTCTGACGCCACTCTACCATCAGAGCCAGACTCAGACCCAGAATCAGACTCAGACCCAGATGAGCCAGAAGAACTTGAGTCAGAGTCCGACTCCGAACTAGAGTCTGAACCCGACTCCGAGCTCGACGACTCCTCAGATGACGACTCCGATTCGGAACCAGATTCAGATCCAGATTCGGAACTGGACAGGCCCAGACCAGACTCTGAGTCCGACTCGCCCGAGCTGCTATCGGCTTTCGTCGAGTCCTTGGTTTGCGGCGACGGTTTCGGCTTAGGAGCAGCCACAGGCTTAGCCAGCACCGGGGCCTCGGGAGACTTAGCTTTAGCTGCAACTGGAGTGGCTTTAACCGGGGTAGCATTAGCCTTCGCTGAAACGGGAGTAGACTTGATCACAGAAGGAATATTCTTTACGGCAGAAGCATTCGCCGTGCTAGGCGAGGGTTTGGTCACAGCAACAGCAGGAGTGGCCTTCACAGATGCGGGAGTGGTCTTCACAGATGTGGGGGTTGCCGTAACAACTGCGGGAGTAGCTTTCGCAGACCCGGGAATAGCCTTGGTGTTGGTGGGGGTGGCCTTTATGGCAGCAGGGATGTCCTTGATAGTCGAAGGGGTCTTCACAGCAGCGGGTATATTCTTGGTTGCCGTAGGAGTGCTCGGGGCCGGCGAGTCATTAGCCACCGTAGGTGTATTGATGCTCGCGGGCACCTTAGCAGTCGCCGGGGTGGTCTTAGCGGTCGGAGTCGCCTTGACAACAGCTGGGGTAGCTTCAGCCGGGGGCGACGACGATCTGGTGGTAGAAGCTGGCGGCAGCGTCTTAGCTCTTTTCGCAGGCTGTTCCGAAGCGCCGTCTTCGTGGGGTTTTTTCGATGAACTGGTGCTCTTTGATAATTGTGAAGCCGGTTCCTTCCCTGTAGGCTTCGGGGGCGAAGAAACTTTCAGCTGTGAAGGCTTTGCCACTTGAGACTTAGGAGCTTGAGACATTGATGTAGACTTGGGAGTGACCGACTCTTTCGACTGAGTGCTGGCCGCTTGTTTTAGAGCAGGTGACTTCGAAAGTTGTTGGGTTTTCAGAGGGTTCAGCTGGGAATTCGCGGCCTGCGAGGACTTGACAACTGGTGCCGGCGTAGGGATGTCGTCGACAATGTCATCTTCCATTTCCTCGTCCTCATCTACATCGTCGTCTTCGTCTTCATCTTCATCGTCATCTTCGTCGTCGTCTTCGTCGTCGTCTTCGTCATCGTCTTCATCGTCGTCCTCGTCATCGTCTTCATCGTCGTCTTCGTCATCGTCTTCATTCTCTTCGATCTCTTCTTCTTCCAGGGGACTATCAGGTTCCACTAATCCCTCGATCGGGGGTATCGTTGGAGGTTTAGCAGCCGAATCAACCGGCGTTTGTTTCACCTGCAGCGGTTGCGGGTGGCGAATGGTGGTGCGATTTTCTTCATCCAGGTCACTGTCGTGAGAGACGTCTTTTTCTGCACGCACTTTGGCGATCTCCCCATCGTCGCTTGAAACCTCAATCTCCTCGATATCCAGCGACATGACATCAGGCAGAAGATCCGGTAGTTTATCATCCTGCACCGGAGACGGCGACGGCGACGGCGACATGTCTGGCAGGATATTAGGAAGCGAGTGTTCCTGCAGAGCGTGCGAGGCCGTCGAAGGAAGTTGCTTCCGCGGCGGTGTTGCCGGTGATTCGTCAGGGACAACTTGATCGACAGGCGCCTTCTTCGAAGTGACGGATTGTAGGGCAGGATCGACATTGCCATCAGTAAACGGATTTTTGTTAGCCGATGTACGACGTCTTGCTAATGATGGCGAATTCAGAGTACCGTTATCACCTTGATTAGCCTTGTTCACTTGGGGTGTGGATTGAGCAATACCCGACAGTTCGTTGTTACTGGACCGTGACACCTCGCGCTTTTTGATTTGGGTCAACGCAATGTTAGCGAAAGAGTCTTCTTCATTAGCGTCGTCATCTTCGTCGTCGGAGAACCCCTCACGAGAAATAAACGGCAAGTGTGAGTTCAATGCACTTTGAACAACACGGATCTTTTTGACTGCGGGCTCTGCCGGCGGTTCATCGCCAGGCCGCTTTTTCGCGACAACATTGATGTCAGGAGGCAAACGCAATTGGATATAATTAGACGATTCGATCTTCTCATCGTAAGCAGTATTGTACAAATTCGAATGCAGGTCGACAGTCGGTGTCGATGGGAGCGTTTCCTTTTCTTGGGCAACAAGTTCGTTCATTGGCGTGATGTGAGCCGGGTTAATAACGGCAAACTTCTCGTCAGCAATTGACATCTCATAGCCCGGACGTACGTGAGTAAGGAGGGTATTCAAGAACTGGTTGAGCGGATTCAGCATCTCTGGAAGGTTCTCAGCAAAGTATGGATTTACATGACACAGAAGGTATGATAAAATTTCCAGAAGCAGCAGGTGCAGCTTAAAGCCAGGGATGGTGTATTTCTGATAGCAGGCAATGATGTAATACAAATCCTTTATCAGATAATGGTAGTCGGCGATTAACTTCGTGTTATCAGTGACGGGCGTCGATCTCATAAAGAAGCCCTTACCATCGGAAATAACGAGCGGGTTGTGCAGCACCACCTTCTCGGGATCGCCCCCGAGCCATGCCAGTTTCATGATGTTGAGCTGGTAAAAGTAAAGCCCTTCAGCTTGCTTGAGTTTTTGAACCTCTTGATTGTATGTAATGAGAAGTTGGTCAAGAATAACATCGTCAGGAAACGTCAGAAGCTTTGCAAGTTGAGCAGCGAGCAATTGCTTGAAATGGGAGACCAAACCAAAGTCACCCGGTAACTGCAACGCCTTCGATTTTATACTCATATACTTATCAAAAAGTGTCAGGATTCTAACGATTTCAATGTTTTTGAGTTTGACATCAACCATGACATTATTCTGGCAGATGAACATCACTCGACGACGACGCGCCTCAAACACTTTGTCCAAGTTCTTCAAGTAAGTAGACAATGTGTACAGATTATTAAGACCCTTGGGATGGTACAGCGCCAGTCTCACCGAACAGTTAGATACCACCAATGGTGGCAATATCTCCAGGGCCGCCATGTTCCCCACCACCAGAAACGTGAAGGTGCGAGGGTTATGGACGACAGTGAACTCCTGGAACCAGAAGACATCTTGCGGTTCATAAGACCCTCGGAACTGCAGAACAATGTAATCACGCTCACGTTGAAGCCCCGACGCAGGGCGGCGGTGCATTGAATTGAGTCGGGAGACCACTTCCTCCGCGGTGGGGAAGAACGATTCCACGTCGGGGAAAAGCTTAGCGAATCGGTCAATCACCGGCGCAATGTGGTCGAAGGGAACGGTGGGATGAGTCTGGAACTTGCTGATGAAGTAATCAAACATCGCCGCTTTGATCATGGCCCCGGTCTCGTTGACACGCGTCCGAGGCTCATACTTCACGAGCTGCTGGTACAATTCCTTGTTGATGTTGTAGGTTGAGACCAAGTCGGCCTCTTTGGGCTGGGTACCGATCACCAGAAGATACTTCCAGTAGTCTAGTAGCCCGATAATCTCATCTGGTGCCAACATAGTGCCCAACGAGCTCGACGCGAGTGAAAAAATGAAACGGCTGTGGTGGGGATAGATGTGATTCACAAGCCCGTTATGAGGGTGCTAGGCAAGGAATGATGTGTACCAAAGTATAGACCTTAGTTTGATACCGATTGGCACACGGCGGATGATTTTTATTTTGGTTTCAAGAACTTATCGGCAATGTTTACACCCCGTGTTTATAAAACGGACCTACGCGGGATGGGAGGGCGAATGACTAACAATGCGAGAGGCTTAAATCAGAGCACGGTGTGCCATCCAGATACACTTGGAATAAATTTTATAGAGAAATTGACCAAACCTGGATTGGCTATGGGTGTACGGGTAGCAATATAGAAAATCCATCGTTCATGTTAACTCACCTACATTCACGTGATCACTGCCAGTACTTGTATAAAAAGATTGCGCAAACCCGGAATCGAACCGGGGGCCCAACGATGGCAACGTTGGATTTTACCACTAAACCATTTGCGCTTGTTGAAATTCAAGTGGAAATGCACATAATACAACAAGTGGAAGAGTACACTTAAGGAACTTGCGGGGCTATCGTTTTCTGGAACATCTTGTTTCATTTATCAAATACACGAGAGTGTTTAAGCTGCACTATTATAGAATTTTATTCCCCGATAATTAAGTATTTGACAAATCTTTGAGGTCACTGAACAATGTAGCCTTATAATACTCAGGTAGACAGAGAAAAGTAGTCGCTATATATAAGTCATGATGAAAGTTCAAGCTTGACCGGTGAACCTCGATCCATATGCTCAAATAATTGTAAAAATTGATCTTTTCAGTGTTTTGTGCTTCACAAATAAATTGGTCTAAGTACATGTTTCCGACGATGTGAATGGCATTATTTTAGGAATTAGATCGTTTGAAATCGTCGGCTCTAAACACAGTGAAAATTCATTTCAAGTGGGGCATATATACGACACCTCTGATGACGACCGTATGAGCATCTTGATTTACTCCGAAGCTGTGGGGATAGATAAATTACGTAGAGGTTTAGTCTATGGTTCTGATCAGGCTTATTTGTACTTTCATACGGTGATTGTATTGAATTAATGTGCGGGTGAGCCCCAATTCATTAGTCAATCCACACTGCGAAATTCGGGTCCACAGGCAATAACATGTCAAACTGGGTATTATAATATTAACATATAGTGATATTAGCTAATTAAAGAAGGAAGGGGACCAAACCAGCAAGGGCGATGGCCAAGGTGGGTCTGATCACAGCACCAGCACCGGTAGCCGCATCAATGTCAGGAATGTTGGAACCGTTGCCAGCACCGTTGTCCGAGCCGTCAGAGCCGTTGCCAGCACCGTTGTTCGAGCCGTCAGAGCCGTTGCCAGCACCGTTGTTGGAACCGTCAGAGCCGTTGCCAGCACCGTTGTTGGAACCGTCAGAGCCGTTGCCAGCACCGTTGTTGGAACCGTCAGAGCCGTTGCCAGCACCGTTGTTGGAACCGTCAGAGCCGTTGCCAGCACCGTTGTTGGAACCGTCAGAGCCGTTGCCAGCACCGTTGTTGGAACCGTCAGAGCCGTTGCCAGCACCGTTGTTGGAACCGTCAGAGCCGTTGCCAGCACCGTTGTTGGAACCGTCAGAGCCGTTGCCAGCACCGTTGTTGGAACCGTCAGAGCCGTTGCCAGCACCGTTGTTGGAACCGTCAGAGCCGTNCAGAGCCGTCACCGCCGTCACCGCCGTTGTTGGAGCCGTCACCACCGTTGTTGGAGCCGTCACCGCCGTTGTTGGAGCCGTCACCGCCGTTGTTGGAGCCGTCACCGCCGTTGTTGGAGCCGTCACC